TAAAATGTGTAATGTAAATGACTTCATATAATTTGTAAGCAAATTTTGATATAGCAAAATAATGTCCATGAAACATACCACTCCATTCAAATGTATCCACACATCTACTACCTAAGTTTCAATATTTTACATTTATCACTTTACTTAGGCATGGAAAGATGCATTTGAACTTATAAAGTAATGATGAATTTCGGTGGTATAAATGTTAAAAAGTAAAATTTAAGTTTTAGAAATGCAAAGACATTTAAATTTGGTGGTATGTATAATGTATGTAAATGCCAGTTAAATTTAAATATTTCAACATATAAAGTAATGATGAATTTCGGTGGTATAAATGTAAAAAAGTTAAGTTTAAGTTTTAGAACTGCAAAGACATTTGAATTTGGTGGTATGCATAATGTATGTAAATGCCACTTAAATATAAACCCGTTGAAGATGGTTATGAAACGATACACCAATACCGAAAGTTAACTCTTCATATAAGCGAGCGAAGTGATTCATCCCAACTCATCTGGTATACCCTTAAAACAAAAGTTGATGTAGCTATGAAGTTTCTTTAACACTATCACAATTGACACTTCATAGAAATCACACCCATGAAATTTAGTTCATTCTCTGCATCATAATAGCTCATGTGCTACTTTCTAGGATAATAAATCAACAAATTAAATGATTAATCCTTATATGCTGCTTCATTTGCTCCACATCGGAACTTCCACGTTTACATAAATAGCACTCAAATCTTTCCTATCACCTAAAGAATGCATTGTTTATATTAAAAGGTGAAATACACCTTCTCACATATAGATAGGGTTGCGGCATGAACATAAAAAATGAAGTTTAGGTGTTAACCATGTAAATTCATAAAGATTGAGTGGTGTATATGTAAATCTTAACAACGCATCGCAACCACTATAATCACTTGTTTAAATTTTTCGTGTATAATTTCATGTCGTGAAGGTGTTATAAATGTGAATGTCAAACCTCTGGTGTTAGGAGTGATATATATATATAAAACATGTGCAACAAAATAAAGAAGAGATGAATACATGTAATTCACTGTTAATAAAAATAATGAATTAAACTCATGCAACAAAATCTTCAATCCAATCTATGAATTTGATAGAAAACAACATATTATCCAATAATATTATCCAGAAAACAACATATTATCCAATATATCATAAATCATATATATGCTAATAGAATCAAAAGGTTTTTCAAGTTTTACGTAAGATAAAATAGACAACCAAACAGTCCATAATATTGATTTCCAACAAGGGACAAATGTACCCCCTCATCTTGTTCATGGCTCCGTATGCTCAAATCATTCCACCGTTAGCTCTAATGACTCGTCCACTAACCATCTCCCCCGCATCAGAACAAAGAAAATATATGAACGACGCAATATCTTCCAACACACCAAGCCTCTCCATAGGATTATTTTCGGCCGCTACCTTCGCATCCTCCTCCGTCTTTCCTGCAAAAAACATATCAGTCGCTGCTGGCCCCGCTGCAACACAGTTGATTGTGATTCTCTTTATCTTAAGTACATTCGCTAGAGACTCAACCATCGCCTCTACCACCGCCTTTGAACAAGCGTAAACCCCGTGCCTCGGCAGATATGAGAGCGCTATGATCCTTCCGCCGCCACCCGGTACCACTCGATTGGCTGCTTCTTGAAACACGTGGAAGGCGCCTTGTGCATTGACTGACATGATTGAGTCGAATATAGCTTGAGGGATGGAGGACATGGACTGGTATTTGCGATCGAAGATGGCAGCGGAGTGCACGACGATGTGTGGGGGGGATTTGAAGGTTTTTTCGGTGAGATCGAAGACTGAGCGGACAGCGATAGGATCGGAAACATCAGCGCGGATGGTGATGGCGCGGGGGATGGAGGCTGAGGAAGAAGAATTGATTTCTGCAGCAAGGCGCTCGGCTTCAACAGACCTGGAATAGAAGACTAGGGTGATGGAGGCCCCTAGGGAGGCCAGTTGGAGGGCGGTGGCGCGGCCAATGCCGCGGGTGGCGCCGGTGACGATCGCGACACGGCCTTGAAAGGGGAGCGACATGCCTCTTTTTTTTTCGACCTAACGAGTCTTTCAGCACCTATTTATTGGCGTACATGCGGGTTTAACTGAATGCCTCTTTTTTTTTCTTTTTTTTTTCATTCTAATAAATTTATTAGTCTTTACAACCTAATTTAAATTTCTTAATAATAAATAATAATTTGTAATAATACATATTCCAAATATAACCGTTCAACTATAAGAAAAAGAATTTGTAAAATTAATATACTGAATTTAATTCAATAATTTAAATATGAAAAATCTTAATTCTGCCTGATTTCAATTAATCTTAATTGAATAATGATAGTTTAAGGCACATTTACATACATACCCATCCACTGCATGTGGTGTCCGATCATGACGGTCAGGTTTATTTCAGTTTTTTAAAATTTTTAAAAAAAAATCGGTGGGGACCACCGAAGTACATCCTGACCAGTGATTTACGGTCAGGATCAGACACCGCACGCAAGATGTGTGCGGTGTCCGATCCGTATGGAATAGTTTTTCCCCACCCAATTCATATGTATTTACACATCTAACAACTAAATTTTACTTTCTAGATGCATACCATCCAAATCTTTCAAATCACATAAGAAATACTATCTTTTTCCATCTTTAAATAATGAAATATACCCTTTCATGTATAGGTAAAAATGCATATATATAAAAATTGAGGTTTAAATATTAGATATTTATAAAAACATAGAAATTAAGTGGTAGGTATGTACATCTTCCAAATTTAGGCTCTCCTCCTTCCCTGTTTAGTGAAGCTCCTTTACAAGATGCCCCCATAAAATAAAAGTGTTTTTTCAACATTTGATCATGCACTGTTAGCGGACAAAGCTTCGAGATTTACTCTATTTTTAATTGTCGATCGCAAGACAAAACATTTCGGACGTCATAGCTTACGTAATATAAACATCTCAAAACATGGAAAACATAGATACTTCGATGCTAGGTTCAATTAATGTTGTTCGGAATCACTGCTGAAATTAGCCTGTTTAGCAAATTGGAAGTATTGTTCTTCTAAAAACATTGAAAAAAAGTTGCTACAAATATTAAATTATCAGGGGAAAAAATGTTTAAAAAGGGGTTAGAGGGTATGAAATTTTTTTTTTATTGGAACATAAACTAATAGTTTCAAAAATACCTTCATCCAGGCTGAATTTTGGTTAAGTTCATGGTCAAATCCTATTAAAGTGTGTTATCAAACACCTCAGAGGTGTCTCTAGTATGATTGCAATTATGTCTCTTTATCTTCTTAATCGTGAAGAGAACTCACACACCCGTTGTTGCTATTAGTAATGTTTAAACAGACTTTGAAAAGACATCAATATAAAAAAATCGTCTTTCTTTAATGTTCATTCATTTTTATCTGTTCAATATTTCATCTCAACTTTGAAAAATATTTTATTGAATCTCATGCCAATGATAAATATTCTAGGCTAACTGGCACCCACTTTTGGCTACAAAAAGTGCTCAAATTGAATTCCTAGCAAGCGAGTCATAACTGAGAGTGCAAGATGAAAAACTGGTCTTCAAGGTATATTAAGATCACACTAATAAAAAGGAGCACTGCTAGTAAATTTGATCAATAAAGAGAAGCAATTGCGATTTATAATTGAAGTAGAAAAGTCTAGTAAGACGAAGAACAAATCTAAAAAGAATGAAAAGAGTGATTCATACAAAATTTTTAGGAAGAAGAAGACAAGTAGCCCATCTTTATATATGTTCTAAAAGAAGATATCACAATTCTGAGTGAGTGGATCACACTTTTGGTACTATCTACTAAAGAAGTTCGATAAAAAATTGTAGATACTTTTATATAAAATATGAGCAAAAAGTGCCTCGTAGGCTAAGGACATAAAACAAAGCTAAGTCTAGGACATGTACCATATTGTCAATTGGTATTAAATAATGGCCCGAGAGACCTCTCACTTCCAATTGGTCGCCCTTAAACAGGAACATGAAGAATGTCTAGAAGCTGGGGAAAAGTGGGTCACAGCCAAGGAGAGTGTGGAAGCCGTGGAGGCACGGGCTAAGGTGGCTGAAGAGCGAGCGATAGAAACAGAAGAGCAAGAGAAGGAGGTCGGAGTGAAGTTGCACAGACAATCGGCGTCGTTGTCGACCACTCAAAGAGAAAATTAAGCTTGAGGGAAAAGATGTCAACAATGAAAATGATAGAAGATTTATTTTTTGATCTTCCTTCATACCCTCAATAAGTGGAAGCCCTACTGTGCAACTAAGAGTTGATGCTTCCTTGAAGATTGGTTGAATGATAAAGGGAAAGCTCGTCGCTTTTTAGGGGGATTGATATGAACAGATTTGCTACATTGCTCCGAGGCTCGGAGGAGCACAATCAAAATAATGAGAGATAAACACGAACTTGTGCCTTTGAGAAAAATTTTCTTTTTTTTAATACATATAAGAAAAGAATAGTAATTTATTTGCAAAGTAAATCTTTTTAAAGAAATTCTTTGTATGCTATCAACCATGAAATAAAATAAAATTTTCATTCGTTTTCAATTTTGTTCTTGTGTTTTACCTTTACGAGATTTTTTTTACATATAATGATTGTTTGTGGTGATTGTTGGCTCGACTTTTTTCACAAACATTTCATAACTGACCATAAAAAATTACAGCGAGTCTAACTTGATTATAATTTAAAATCAATTGGGATGTTTATTTTATATGTATTTTTTTCATTCTCTCCACTTAATTATAATTATTTAATTTCACATTTCATTTTATTTTTTTAATATTCCTTCCCTATTTTAAAACTCCAATGTCTTTTTATTTAAACTTTTTATTTATTTATTTATCTATTTATTTATTTTTCATATGTGATTAGGTCTCTGAGAGGTGATATATGTCACCTCAAAAGAGATTGTGTGCTACAAATAGCTTGCAGCGAAGAGGTTTCTAATGATCTGCATGATTTTGAGAATTCAAAAACTCTCTTGATTATTTTCATAGTAACAAAGGCGCATCAACACATTATATTCTTATAATGTTGGAGGGCTTTTCGCATTAGCATAGGGACATTGAGAGAAGGAAGCAGTTAGCCCCTCACTTTAAAATAGGATGAAAGAGATGATAATCAAGCTAATTACATACATACATAGCACTCTAAATGTTGTTTTTTTTTTGCAAAACTAGCTTGCAAGTGAATTTTGTGAAATACCAAACTGATGTACTTACGCGTGACATAATCAAATTATTAGAAATTTAATAAAAATGAAAAAAAGGGTCTGAGGTTTTGTTGTGAGTTTTGCAATTTGAGTGAATTTCAAAATAGGATGAAAGAGGATACTAGTTCTATAAATAATAATACTTCAAGTGCTATATATGCAATTGCCCCTTAATTACAATTTTTGGTACATCTTCCTCTCTTTCTAGCAAAGAGCCAAATAACATCCCCAAAGCCACTCGCCCCAAGGCAATGAGAAAATATTACATCTATCCCTTTTATTAACAAATCAAACTTAACAAAGAACGTCATGGCTCATGTAATGAGAGATTTTCAATGGAAAGAGAAAATTGATGCTTTGATTTCGAAAAGGCTTTTTTTGGGAAAATTTTTTAGGGCTTAACTAAATGACAATTACAAATAAATTGCATCATATATATATATATATATATATATATATATAAAGAAATTGATTTTCTTATGTGCTACAGCCCGATGACAGGGTTCTAACGCAATGTGCTTATATATTCAAGAACCCCGCGCCACGAGAGATCGAACCCGTGACCTGAGGGGACTTACAGAGAACCCCACCAACCAACTGGCCATGGCTTGCGGCGCGCGCGCGCACACACATATATATAGATAGATAGATATAGATATAATGGAGAAAACCAAAAATAAAGAAATAGAAATGAATGAGGGGCTAAAAGAGAGCAAAACATGAGCTTATGGGTCCAAACTCTCATCCAGGATGAACTTGATATCACAGCTTCATTAAAAACATCTTCCCTATGTAATATAAAATTAAAATATTCTTTTACCATCCAGAACTAGTAGGTCATAAGTCAGTAACTAGTGAGACTCATAATTTTCGAAGCAGCGGTGCATAGAAGAAGTTAGAAACAGAGTAGCAGCAGGTAACAGTCGAAACCCCTCCAAGTCCAAGGAAGCAAATACATAAAAGAAATATATTAGTTGACATAGAAAGAGGAGTATGGAGAGAGAGCCATAAAAAGTAGTATATGTTCTCAAAAGGCCCAACTGTTGTGACTAAAAGTGAGGATGAAAGGACTAAGACCATAAGTATAGAATCATTCATTCTAGCAAAAGAACCAAGAAAAGTGAGAGGATGGATGTAGGGACATTCTCAGTTTCCAGCAACTCCAAACTCAAATGGCACGGCCTTCAGTCACTCAAAATACAACCAATATCAAAACCAAATATTGACTGTAAAGTTTATAATTGCAAATACAAACAAACAATACCAACTACCAATAAAGACTGCTAACATCATAAATGGTTCTAATTCAATCAGATAAGCCAACAGATATAACAGTTCCAAAGTTTCAGAAATCTAGTAAAAGATGAGCTTAATCGATAAGAAAAAAAGAAGAGCAGAACAGTGGTCGTCGGTAATGTAGCAGATTCTGATGCTCCTTAGGAGCAAAGAGCTCAGATTATGTACATTCTAAATAAGTCAAGTAACTTATAGTATTCTGTAAAGTTACCAAAAGTAACAGTATCTATTCAATATCAGTAAAATAAAAGAATGCCATAAGCATATTATGTAGAAGCAAATCCATCCAGTACTAATCTTCATGCCATACAGCCAATAAAAGGAAGCCAATTATGCCCATTGTTAGAGTTGCAAATTCATCATTGCGCTTATAAAAAACCCATTGACAAGCAATAGTGAGAATAAGGTTGGAGTTAGAAGGCAAGCAGATGGGAAATGCAATGGCCATAATAAGGTATAAGACACATTTAAGCTTCCAAGTTAAATAAGTAGGCCTTAGGACGCGTAACAGTTAGTAATAACATCAGGTATAGTCTCCTTAAAATTTTTATCTTTTGTTT